GTGTGTGTGTGTGTGGGTGTGTGTGGGTGTGTGTGGGTGTGTGTGGGTGTGTGTGTTTGCCTTACATGGCTATTCATGATTTATAGAGTTTAACAAAGGGCCTATTTATTCTTTCAGTCAACCCCCTCGGTTTCACAGAACCCTACTCTGAGTAATCACTTTCGGTCACTGTTAAACTGGGGACATTGGAGCCGGCTGCCTTTCTATAAAGTAACTTAAAAACCAAACCATGAGCCGAAAAACAATTGGACGCGATGCCAGATCTAGGGTGACACGCCATTAGGTGTGCGGAAAAGGGATGTGATGATGCCGGAGAGCCCGAGAGGAAGGCCCCTGTGAGTCTGGGAACAGACGCTGAGCTGGAGAGGCACCAGGAGCAGCGTCTGAGAGCAAGTGGGGTTTAGGAATTTAAGAGGCACCGACTAAGGCGATAGTTTACGCGCCACTAAAAACCATAACTTGAACTATGCTACACTATTGATCGTCGACACTCGATTTCAGAGATGGGAAATGTGAAAAGAAATAAACAACCTAAAATCGATGAGTGCGTTGTGTACCAACACAGCAGAGGGGCCCTGGGAGCTGGGGAGGGGCTGGCGGCCAGCACAGAGCGCTGAGTGGTGTTGACTGCTTACGGCTGGGCCCTGGAGGCCAGGGAGCAGCCGGAAGGGAGAGAATGCTGGGCTGAGCAGCCTCTGGGTGGGCTGCTGGGGCTGCTGGGGAGGGAGGCCTCCCCCACCTCCATTGCTCCCCAGGGGTGTGTCACCCCATTCCTGTGTTGGAACCTAATACCACACTCTTATGTTAATGGTATTTGAAGATCGGAGATAATTAGAATTCAAAGCAGTCACGAAAATGAGGCTTCCATGCTGGCATTGATGGCTTTATAAGGAGAGGAAGCATGCTTGCTCTAACCCTGTGCCATATTATCATGCAGTAAATAAAACCCTCACCTGATGTCAGAATCTGTGCTTGGGTTCCTGGTCTGCAGAACCATTCAGCAAATCAACCTCTGTATTTTATAAGTTACCCAGTCTGTGGTATTCAGTTATAGCAACAGAAAACAGATTAAGGCAGAGGAAAGTGCTAGGAAGAACATGTGGTCCTTCTACAGGGAGCAGATTCTCAAGTGGCAAATCCCACCTGAGGGAAGACTTGCTTTTCATGCAAAAGTGGGCCAGCAGGAAGCGGCCTGTCCCCTCCAGCAGCAGATGGGTGCCAAGGAAATAATGAAGGCAGGGGCTCCATCCAGGCCAGAGGGAGGGGCTCCTTGGAGATGTATTCAGAACCAAGTCTTTGCCAGGCACAAAGATTTGAGCTAGCAGAGACTCCTGGCAAAATCTATGTTTGAAGCACATTTTAGGAACAGGAAAAGAGCAGCCCAGAGTCAAGGTAGGAATCCTAAAGGCTGAGCTGGCTGAGACAGGGCAGGGTGGAGTGTGGTCTAGACAGTGGGAGCCTGCATGCGTCCAGGGCAGGAAGGAAGGAGCAGTCCACCCAAGGCATGCCATTCTTTTTTTTTTTTTT